TCCTTCCCAATCTCCCATCTCTCCCTGCCCTCTGGCAGTGGGAAGCCATTCCCTGTGTCCTGTCCCTCCAGGTCCTTGTCCCAAGTCCCTCTCCAGCTCTCCTGGAGTCCCTTTAGGCCCTGGAACACTTGAGGGATGGGCCTTCCTGTGGGATGGCCCCATCAGAGGCTCTGGCAGCAGCCTGGGGCTCTCCACTTGTTTTTTTTCCCTTTTGCAGACTTAGCCAAAATGCTGCCCATGGCACACAGCCCCTATCCCACCTCTGTCCCAGCTCTGGAGGGGACACTGGAGCAGCCCAGGGATGCTGAGGAGGAGGAGGAGGAGGAGAACCAGCCCTGGCCCGGGAGCTGCTGCTGAGAAAGATTCTTAAGCTCCTGCAGAAATTTCCTCTGCAAGACAGATCTTTTTTTCCAAGTGGCATTAGAGCTGTGAAGGAATTACTGAGGAAAGGCCATGGGGGAGAAGCAGGGAGGGGGGGAAGCGCCTGATGGCTCCGTTGAGGGGCTTAACTCCCTGGAAGGTGATCCAGGATTCCTGTTTCAGCAAAACCGGCATTCCCAGCGGAAGCACCGTGCTTAATCCAGCTGAAAGGAAGCCTTGGCAATTAGCCTGCTGCTTTGGCAAACTCCTGGTGATCCAGCAGCTGGCTGGGAGGTGGCACTTCCCCCGGCACGCTCCGTTGGGTGGTTGTCTGTAAATCCCGGGATTTCTTCCTCTTTCATCTCTTTTGGCCCGTTAGCAAATGGGCTCCCGGCTCCTCCATGGGGTGTTATTTTTGGGATCGCCTTGCTATTGCTGCAGGAAAGCTTTCCAAGGGTTTCCAAGTCCTTCAGGGCCTTGGCTGCAAGGACAGTCCCGCGAGCGAGGGCTCTGCGCTCCAGCGGGATGGATGGAGCGGGACAGGGAGGAGATCCTGGGACGCTGGAGTGGCTGCATGGACCACACCAGGCACACGTGGTGGGATGGGGTTGGAAGTGAGCAGGGACAGAGGATGGTCCCTGTTTGGTGACAGGGACACGTGTCCAGGAGCTGTTGGAGCCGTGGGTTTGGAGACGAGTGTGGTTCTCCCTCAGCTCGTGGATGGCTCTCCTCCAGCTTCCCAAGATCCCTGTGTGCTCCCCACCACCAGGAGCCCCAGGACCGGCTCCTTTGGTCCAGCCTCCCGTGTATCCCACATCCTGGAAGCCTCAGCCACGCTAATGACCTCGATGTACCCTTTGTCCCCCCTGCCCCGCTTCGCCCTCGGGCTGTGCTTGCTGTGGTGGGGGCTGCACGACCTGGGCTCCCGCGGCACCCCAGCTCCGCCCTCCCTGCTGTTCCCAGAGGGATACAGGCAGCGGCTCCCTCCTGCCCAGCCCGGGACCCCCCGGGGGTGAAGCTGGGCCGGGCCCCCCCCTCACCTGGCTCTGCTCTCTTCCAGCTCACCCTGCAGAGCACCAAGTCCCGCGTGGCCTTCTTCGAGGAGCTCTAGGAGGTGTCCGGCCGCTCCGCACCGCTACTGCTTCCCGACGGCTCCCGGAGCCTGGCCCGGGGCCGGGGGGTCCCCGGGGGGCTGCGCACCACCCCGGGCCCCCTGGGTGCTCCAGCCCCGCACCCCGCCGGCCCCGGGGCTGCCCACGGACTGGGTGATGTTCTCTAGCTTAGTGTCCCTTCAGCCTCCCCCCTCACACTCTGTTTTCCTGGGGTTTTCCAGCTTTTCTTTTACTTTTTTCTAGCACAGCTCCTCGGCTCGGCCCTCTGGGCTTTTCCCAGGTGCCAGGGTAGGGGCTGTGGTTGTGGCCCCCCAGCCTGGCAGCCAGCAGAGGAGTGTGCCCAAGGCTCTCCCTGGCAGGGATGACATCCCTCCGGATTGCCTTCTCCTGCTGGCCCTGGAGCTCCATGTTTCAGCCTGGAGCCCTGTGTGCCTGCTCTGAAGCCCCTTGTGCCAGCCCAGAGCTCCCTGTGCCAGCCCTGGAGCCTCATGTGCCAGCCTGGAGCCCCGTGACCTCTGGGGTCCCACGTGCTGATCCTGGAGCCTCACTCATGTGGTGGCCTGGAGTTGTGTGTGCCAGCCTGGAGTTGTGTGTGCCAGCCTGGAGTTGTGTGTGCTCGCCCTGGAGCCTCCGGTGCCAGCTTTGGGGTCCCATGAACTGGCCCCGGAGTTCCATGTGCCGGTCCCAAGAGCCCTGATCCAGCCCTGGAGCCCCGTGTGCCTGTTCCAAGCCCCGTGTGCCAGCCTGGAGCCCCGTGTGCCCTCCCGTGCCGGGAGCTCCATTAGGACGCCGAGCATGTTCCAGCGGAGAGCTGTAAATCAGGGCCGGCTCTCCCAGCGCCGCCGGGGTGGGAGGCAGGAGCGGGATGGCAGGGACCCGGGCCTGTGGGAATCCAGGCGGCTGCTTCCCGGGGGAGAGGAGGTGGGAGGAAGGTCTCCTCCTCTTCTCCTCCTCCTTTTCCTCCTCCCCCTCCCTGCCAGGAATGCGGAGCGGGAGAACAGCTAGTGCCAACCAAATGAAACCTTATTTTTCCTGCAAACTGTGACAAACTCGGACAGCTTCAGGCTGGGGGGCCGCGGGCTGGGCTTTCCCTGGGTGCCTGGATCCAGCCCCTCCGATCCCCGCCCCGGGAATGCCGCTATCCCGGGCTGAGCCCGGGGCTGCCCGCTCCTGCCTGTCCCACCGCGGGTGCCTTCGCTCTGACCCCCCCGCGGGGGCAACAGGGATGCCCTGACCTTCCCTTCCTGCTTCCGTCCCAAATCCCGCCCGGCTGGAATCCTCCTTCCAGCCGCGACTTCCCCTTCAGCAGAGCCGGTGCTGCCCCGGGGATCCCCCAGATCCCCTCGGGACCCCCAACTCCTCCCTCCCGCAGCCTCACCTGACCCACAGCCCCCCCGGAGGCTCAGCCCGGGGCTTGGCGTGGCGTAAATCCCATCCCAACCCCTTTTTATTTAAAACCTGGGATCGATTCCTTGCCCGTGGCTGCAGTTCGGATGGCTGTGGCCCGGCACAGCCGCGTTCCCACTCCCTGGACTGTTGTACTCCCAAGGAATAGCTGTTTTCTCCTGTTTTAATAAAAATTCACAGCACTACGGGGGGCGCTGGGGTTTCTTTGCTCTTTTATATTTTGGGAAAAACCTCTGAGTCCTTGGGAGGGGTTAATGGGAAGCACAGCTGGGGTCCCTCCGGCAGCTCCCACGAGATCGGGATGGGTTCTCCCTCCCCATCATTCCGGGGGTCCCGCTGCTCCTGGTCACTCCCTTCCATCTCTGCTTGAGGGAGGAGAGTTTTGGGTGCCTGGCGGGGCTGAGCCCTGCGTTTGCCATTCCTGGGGCTCTGATCCCTGATCCCGTCCTGCCTGGAATAAAGGATGCACTGCACTGACCTCAATTTTATCGTTAATCACGGATGAAAACGGCCTTGCCCAACACTCCGAGCCCAGCAAGGCCCGACCCCGGGGCTGTTCCCGGCCCCTGCTCCCTCTGGGATCGGGGATGGATGCGCTCTTTATCCGCTCTCCGGCGGCAAATCCCAGGAGATTCGCGGGAGCTTCTGAGCGGGACTCGTCCCCAGAGCCACGGGGGGTTGGGGGGATTTTCCCCACTTTCCTTGTTTTAAGGAGGGCTGGGGGAGGTGGGATGGGATTCTGGCAGAGGGATGCCGGTGGGATACCCGCGGGGTTTCGGGATGGCTGCAGGCAGCGGAGGGACACGGAGGGTGACCTGAATTCCCACATGGCCACTGATGACAGGAATGCAACTGGTGCTTCCTGCCCTGCCTGCATCCCAAAATGAGCCGAAAGGCTTTTCCTAGCAGTCCCTAACTGGGACAGGAGCACAGAGGGATGTGCTGGGAATGTGCAGGGATGGAAGTGCATGGATGGATATGCAGAGGATGGATGGACCAGGGATGGATGGACTGTGGATGGACATGCACAGGGTTGGATGTGAAAGGATGGGTGTGCAGGGATGGGTGTGCAGGGGATGTATGGACTGTGGATGGATGTGCAGGGATGGATGCACTGGGTTGGATGTGCAGGGTTTGGATGTGCAGGGGATGGAAGTGCAGGGATGGATGCACTGGGATGGATGTGCAGGGATGGAAGTGTGGGGATGGAAGTGCAGGGATGGATGCACTGGGATGGATGTGCAGGGATGGAAGTGTGGGGATGGAAGTGCAGGGATGGATGCACTGGGATGGATGTGCAGGGATGGAAGTGTGGGGATGGAAGTGCAGGGATGGATGCACTGGGATGGATGTGCAGGGATGGAAGTGTGGGGATGGAAGTGCAGGGATGGATGTGCAGGAAATGGATGGACTTGGGATGGATGTACAGATGGATGTGCAGGGATGGATGCACTGGGTTGGATATGCAGAGATGGATGTGCAGGGTTTGGATGTACAGATGGATGTGAAGGGGATGGATGCACTGAGGACTGATGTGCAGGGGTGAGATGTACAGGGATGGATGGACTGTGGATGAATGTGCAGGGATGGATGCACTGGGATGGATGTGCAGGGATGGACATGCAGGGGTGGATGTGGAGATGGATGTGCAGGGATGGACGTGCAGGGATGGATGTGGAGATGGATGTGCAGGGATGGACGTGCAGGGATGGATGTGCAGGGATGGATGTGCAGGGATGGACATGCAGGGATGGATGTACAGATGGATGTGCAGGGATGGATGTACAGATGGAGGTACAGGGATGGATGTGCAGGGATGGACGCACTGGGGACGCACTGGGCGCAGCCAGGGATGGATCCAGCATGGGGGGGGTCTCCTCTTGCCCTCTGGCATGGGGATCCCCACTGCTCCAAGAGGCCCTGCACGCTCAGCCTTGCACACTCACAGCCTTGCACACTCACAGCCTTGCACACTCACATCCCCACACACCCGTGGCACTGCACAGCCAAGGAATTGTGCACTCGCAGCCTTGAGTGGGGGCAGGATTGTACAGACTGTGCACTCACAGCCTTGCACACCCACAGCATCACACGCCTGCACACTCAGCTTTGCACACTCAGCCCCTCACACACTCACAGCCTCACATTCCCAGCTTTGCACACACACAGCTTTGCACACTCACAGCTTTGCACACTCACAGCCTCCCACATTCCCAGCCTTGCACACTCACATGCTCGCAACTTCCTGCTCACACACTGCACACCCACAGCTTTGCACACTCATGGCCTTGCACACTCACTGCATCTCACACATGCAACCCGCAGCCCAGTGCTCGCTCCCCCCCCGCCCTCCCTGGTGCATCCCAGGCCGTTCCTCCACTTCCAAAGGAAATTTCATCCTGGTTTTTTTTTTCCCCCTTTTCCCAGATGAACCCTTCAGGAGCCGTGGCAGCGGGTGTGGGTTGGTGGGAGCTGACTTTGCTCGAGGAAAAGAAACTACCAACCAGCCTTTCCCATGTGCCTCTCCCAGTGCCTTCCCCTGCCATGCATTCCTGGGGAAGGAAATCGGGAATTTGGCCAACCCCAGGCAGCAGCCGAGGGCTTTGGCAGCAGTTCTCCACTTTGGGGTCCCCAAAGCCTCCTCCACTCACATTTATTTCAATTCCCAGCCGTTAAATACTCTCAAAAAATAGAATAAACCACCGAGGGCTGGGGGAGAAGCGTTGCCCTTGGGAGGGGGTCAGTGCTGGCACCAGGACAGAGGGGACACAGGGTGACCTGGGGGTGGCCAGGGCCAGGGCCCCCCCTGGAGGGGGGTCATGGTGCTGGTTCAGAGCCCACCCAAAATGTGCACGGCTTTGGTTGGCAACTCCTGTGGGAAAAGAGCTTGGAAGGGGCAGAGGGGATGGATGGGGACTGGCATAACTGTCCAGCTCCAGCTGCTGACCACTGGTGTCCCCCACCCATGGGTGCTGCTCCACAGCCCCACTGCCCCTGGTCCCGAGTACCTCGGGGGGGGGTGTGAGATGGGAGGTTAGGGGCGAAAAGGAGACCTTGGTAAAGCCCTAGAGAGGGCTGGGGGTGCTCCTGCACACGTGGGGACTGTGTGTGTGACCGAGGGAAGGGTGTTTGCATGGCACGGTGGCTCCTGGCACGGGCTGGAACCAGGAGGACCAGAGACCCCCGGGCCGTGTGTGGCTCTGCAGGGTCACCCTCTGCCCTCCAGCAACGCGGTGGGGATTAGAGGAGCAGCCCCGGGGACACCCCAGCCCTGCCCTCGGGCTCCCTGAGGTGCTCGGGGCACCCACCGGGTGTGTGTCTCCCCCGCAGTGACAGGGACAGTGCTGCTCCCGGGGATCCGAGCCAGACGGATCCTGCTCTTTTCCGACGGTGTCTTGAGGACGTGGGGACCTGGTTCCTTCCTCTCTGACAGCTGCCAGCCTGGCGCTGTCCCCGCCATCCTCATCCATCCCCATCCATCCCCATCCATCCTCATCCATCCTCATCCCTCCCCATCCATCCGAGCCCGTCCCCGCCGGCTCGGGCTGACGGCTGGCACAGCACCGCCGGCTGCGTCCCTCCACCTTTGTCTTCCGGGGAGGAAAAGAGGGAAGAAAATAACTTTAAGGAGGGAGGAGGGAGGGGAGGGGCAGCCCTGGCAGGGGATGGCACCCAGGGCCACCTGCTCCCCGCAGAGACCTGGCAAACTCGGTGCTCTGTGTGGGTTAATTGGAGACTCATCGCACGAGGAAACCAGAGCTTGGGAGCCCTGGCTGGGAGCAGAGGTGTCTGTTCAGCCCCAGGAAGGGATAATATATGGATGCTGTGGGATCAGAAACACGTGGAGTGGAGGGGGAATTGCTGGAGCCGAGTGGGGGGTGTTGGGTGAGGTGTGATGGGGTGTGGGACCGTGTGGGGGGGTGTGGGGTCTTGGTGGGGTGCAGGACACTGTGAGGGAATGCCAGACCACCCCATGGGGTGTAGGAGCACACGTGGGGTGCAGGACTCTGTAATGGGATGCAGGACCCTGTGAAGGGGTACAGAACCACATGTTGGGGTGCAGGATCACCCCAGGGGCTGCAGGAGCACATGGTGGAGCACAGGACCATGGATGGGGTGCAGGGCCATGGAATAGGGTGCAGGGCCATGGGATGGGGTGTAGGACCATGCAGGGTGGTGAAGGACTGTGGGATGGTATGTAGGACCATGGGATGGGATGCAGGACCATGGAATAGTCTGCAGGACTATGCAGGGGGGTGCAGGACCATGGGATGGGGTGCAGAGCCATGGAATAGGGTGCAGGGCCATGGGATGGGGTGCAGGACCATGGAATAGGGTGCAGGACCATGGGATGGGGTGTAGGACCATGGGATGGGGTGCAGGGCCATGGAATAGGGTGCAAGGCCATGGGATGGGGTGCAGCACTGCCCTGGGGCCGGATCCAGAGCAGGAATGCTGGAGTCCCACTCCCATCACCTTCTCCTGCTCAGTCATGGGAACACAGGGCACTGTCACAGCCCTGCTGGATGTGCCTGCTGCCAGCCTGATGTCACTGGGCCTGGGCATCCTGGCACCAGGTGCCTTTGGGACCTGTTATCCTGGCACTGGGCACCACTGGATCCTGGTATCAAAGGGCATCCCACTGCCACGGGTCACAGCACCCTGGAAAGATGGAGCTGATGTCACCACTTGTCACTGTGCACCAGCAGCGGGGTGGGAGCAGAGCCTGGACTGGCCCAGCCCTGTCCCAGAGGCAAAACTCCTTGCAGGAGCCATCACCTTTCCCTTTGGGAAAGCCAGATCCCACCCGTGCTCCAGCACTCCTTCCTGGGCAGGCTGTGCTGTCCATGAGTTTGTTTTTATTCAGTTAATAAGTTTGCAAAGGTCCTTCCCTGATGTCTCTGGGAGTTGTCTCTCCTGGTGGGAACAAGAGGAGTCACCTCTGCCCTCACTATCCCGGGCCACATCCACTTGGAGGGATGTTAAGTACAGGATCATCTCAATTTCTCCCATTTTCCATAAAGAAAAATCCCCCCTCAGCAGAATTCCTACCTCCTCCCACAGAGGGGATATTTCTCCCTCCCCCCCTTCAGAACCCAAATTAAACGGAGCCTTCCGAGCCTTCCCCATTCTCCCTTCCCTCCCCTCCTGCCTGGAGCTTTGCCTGGCATTTCCTCTGAAATCCATCCCAGCGTGGGAACGGTCCCGTGGGATGCGGCTCCCGGACCCTTCCCGGGGGTTATCTCCGCTGCCCTTCCCGGGTTTCCAGCGGGCACTGGGAGCTGGCAGCCGGCGCGGCCGCTGGGATAACCTTGTGGCTCGGAACGTTGCAGCCATCCCTCTTCTCCCATCAAGCGTTCATTTAGGAAACATTCCACTAAATACCCGCCTGACAGCGCCGGCCCCGGGAGATTGATGCCTCCGGCGCCTCCGGGGCTCGGTGCCAGCGGTGACTTTAAAATGACACCACGACACCCCGGGCCCCTCCCGGCCCCTCCCGGTGCCCCGGTGAGCAGAGGGACAGTGTGGAGGACACTGTGGCACTGCCCACCCCCATTCCAGCGTCCTCACACTGCCCCGGGGGGAGTTATGGGGGAGTTATCCATGGGATTGTCCAGGGGGATTTGAGGGCACCCGGCACAGGTTTGCACCATCCTCAGCTCTGCCGGTTTTCCCCAACCTTGTCAGCTTTCCCATGGCTTTGGGGCGTCCCCATCCCTGTGAGGGTTCCTTATTCCCATCCTCACCCACATCTTATCTCATCCCATTTCCAGCCCTGGCCCCATCCTCAGCCCATCTCTATCCCTGTCCTTATGCCATCCCCATTCCAACCCTCATTGTCATCCCATCTTCAACCCCATCTCGTCTCATCCTGCCTCATCAAGATCCCACCCCCATCTCAATCCTCAGCCTCAGCCCATCCCACCTCATCCCAATCCCACCCCCACCTCATCCCAATCCCACCCCCACCTCATCCCAATCCCAACCCCACCTCATCCCAAACCCAGCCCCATCTCATCCCAATCCCACCTCCACCTCATCCCAAACCCAGCCTCATCTCATCCCAATCCCATCCCCACCTCATCCTCATCTCCATCCCAATCCTCATCCCCAACCTACCCCATCCCATCCTCATCCTCATCCATCCTCATCCTCATCCTCATCCTCATCCCTTCCCACCTCATCCCAATCCCATCCCCACCCCAGTCCTAATCCCTCAGGGCAGGAGAGAGCCCAGGAGCCTCCACTGGGCAGAGGAGGATGTGGAGCCAAGGGGGGGAATAAACAAGGAGCAGATTAATTAAAGCTCAATCAGCCTCATTCCTGTGCCAGCACCACTTTGGTCCTTTTCCTTTCCATTCCCCCAAAATTCCTGAAAAAAACAAGGACATTGATGTCGGGATGTGAACCCAGAGTGAGCGCTCCTGAGAGCGAGATCCTCCCAAAGCTGCGGACAGGACACAAAATGCCAGGCCTGGGTCGTGCCTCTCCCACCTCGTTAGTGGGACCAGTTAATTAGGGAAGAACCCGGGAGTGTTGGGAAGGTGCCACTGTCACCGAAGGGACGAAGGGACTGCAGGGGGAGATGGCACTGACCTGCTGGCAAGGCTGGTCTGAGCCCCGGAGGGGAGAAAGGGGGAATTGTGAAAAGGATCCACAAATAATGGAGGAATAATGAAGAGGAACATTCCCAACATCCCAGCGGTGTGAGAAAGGGGTAAATCCCCAGGCTGTGGCTGGGATTTGAAGCTGAAATCCCTGGGATTTTGAGATGCCGCTGCCTCCACCCCACCATGTCAGGACTGAGGTCTGAGATTCTCCCCCCAAAATCAGCGAGGGAATTCAGCACGGGGGATTGTCCCAGCCTTCATCCCACGAGGAAGAGAGTGCTGTGGCCGAGCTGGGCTCCGGGGAAGAGCAGAGAGCACTCCGACGACGGTGATCCCTAATGAACAAAAACCTCATCAAGCATTCAGATGCAATTAAGCCATTTAATTCTCACTTCCCCCTCCCCGTGCCGCTGCTCCCGCTCCATCCCCAGGGAGCAGGAGCCGGGATGACCGGCTGCCCCCCCATCCTTAGGGAATGATGCTCCCACAGGTCCCTGTCGCTGCACAGAGAGCTCCGGTGGGGATTTGAGGGGAAAAGCCCAGAAATTGGCCGTGTTATTCCTGCTGGGATTTGGGCGGTGAGAAATTAATGAGTTTCCACCCCGGGGCCTCCAGAGAATTAATTGGGAGGGAACTTCGTTAACATCGAGGAGCAAATTAAAAAAAAAAAAAGGAGGAGATTTTTAATCAGGCTTTGCCTTTTTGGGTTTGTTTCTCCCCAAAAGCCACTTGTTATTCTCAGCATTCCCCCCTCAAGTGGTGGAGCTCAACCACGGTATTAGACAGCGGAGATTCCCCGTGGGACACAGATCCGTGTGCCCCGACACCATCCCGAGCTCCGGGGCAGGATGGAATTTTAGCAGAGTCGGAAAAATCCACCCCCGAGCCACGACCCCGCGGGAGGAAGGACCCTGCCCTGGGAGCTGAGACCCCGCAGCACCGGGAATTGCTGATCCCTGAAATCCCCCTCTCCGGAGCGCGGCCGGAGAGGGAAATTTCTCCCAACCAAAAAATAGCTTAAAGGGGACCCCAGCTGGTTAAATCCAGCGGCGGCCGCAGCGGCAGCGCTGCCGGGAAGCAGAGGTGGGATCTGGGGAGCCCCGGAGCGGGGTCCCGGCCGCTGCTCCGGCGGGAGATGGAAGGAGCGGCGCAGGGAGGTTGGAGCTGCCCGAAAATTCCCGGCGGCGTCGGTTTGGATGAGGCTGAGCACGTGTCCGGGGCGGCTGCGGGAGGCAGGGGGCGTTCAGTGAAGGACTTGGTTGGAGCAGCAGGAGCCCCATTCCTTGATTCCGGGCGTTCCTGTGGCAGTGCCAACACGAGCGGCACATCTGGAGCGGGCCCAGCCGTGCCTCAGTCTCCCCGTCCCCCTGGAGCATCCCTGGTGTCCGATGAGCTCCTGGGAGGTGCCGACTGTCCCCCTTTTCTCATTCCCTCATTCACTTAAGGCTCTGGGGACAGCGTCCTTCCTGCCCCCAGCCCCTTCCCTCCCACCTCCCACCTCTGAAGGGGCCTTTGCAGCCTCCCCGTGCCGCTGTCCCCACTTCCAGAGGTGCCACCCAGGCACGGGGGACACTGTGACCCCCAATGTCCCAGCGGGTTGGGGTCTGCTGGGACACCCCCACCCGGGAAAGGCGGACATCAGGATTTGGGAGGGGAGATGTGCCAGGCCCTGGGAGCATCCCTTCCCATGTGCTGGGGCACAGGAGAGTGTCACAGGGACACAGACACCGTGGGGACATGGCCCAGTGGGGACCTGCCCTGTGCATCAGCCCAGCTGGGATTAATCACTGTCAGAGTGAGAAATGAGGTGAAAAATGGGATCAAGGCTGGGGGGAAGTGGGGGGCAACTGGAAAAGGGGACAAGGACAGAGGGCTTTGCTCTCAGTCCCCCTTCCTGCCCCTTCCACGGCTCATTTTTCCCGTGCTGTGAGAGCAGCAGGTCCGGCTGTGGGGTCCCTGTGGGGGACCTCGGGGTGACAATGCCCCAGGGTGGTACGTGCAGGGACTTTGTGGTGGGACAGCCTGGGGTGCCAAGTGTGGGGACACTGAGGTGACAACTGTCAAGACAGGGGGTGCCACATGCAGGGACCTAAGGGTGGTGACAGCCTGGGGTGGTGACATTCCCCAGGAACAGGGTGCCATGTGTTGGGACCTCGGGGTGGCGGCTGTCTGGGGGTGGGGTGCCATGTGCAGGTGATGGCACCCTGGGATGGTGACAGCCCCAGGGACCTGCCGGGACTCTGGGATGGTGAGTGCCCCTGGAGCAGGGTGCCATGTGCAGGGACCTCGGGGTGGTGACAGTCGGGGGACCTTGGGATGACAACCTCCCGGGGAATGGGGTGCCATGTGCAGGGACCCGGGGGTAGCAACAGCCTGGGGTGACGTGTGGGGAGCTCTCGGGTTGTCTGCCTGGGCATGGGGTGTCATGTGGAGGGACCTCAGGGTGACACCTGCCTGGGCATGGGCTGCTGCATGTGGGGCCACCGGGGCGACACCTGCGGAGACAGGGGGTGCCACAGGGACCCCCAGCACCCCCCGAGCCTCCACCCGGGGCACCAGCATCTCCCACTCCCCCTCCGGGGAGGGTTGCGGGGTGGGCTGCGGCCCGGGACGCTCCCGGGTGGCCGTGCCCCCCTCACTGCCGCACTGCCCCCCCCTCATTACGCCCCCTCCAGGGGAGGCCCCACCTCCCCCCGCCCCCAGCCCCATTTCCCGGGCGGGACCGTTCAAAACCCGCCCGGCGCCGCCGCTCCCCGGATTCCGCCGCCGCTTCCCGGGGCCGGGGCCGAGGATGCTCCGGCTGCCGGCGGCGCGGGGGGGGCGGCGGGGGCGCGGCGGGGGCTGAGCCGCGGCGGCTGCGAACCCCGGCCTGCCCGGGACACTTGGCGGGGAGGACGGAGAGGAGGAGGAGGAGGGAGGAGGAAGACGAAGAGGCCGCCTTCATCCTCGGCCCCGCCATGCCGGGCCCCACCGGGGAGCGTGGCCCGGTGGCAGCGGCCCCCCGGGGGCTGTGAGCGGCCCGGGGCCGGCCGAGGGGGGGCCCCCAGGCGGGCGGAGGTGGGGGGGGGCCCGGGTGGAGGGGGGGCCCCGAGCGGCATGGCCAGCCCCGTCCCCCCCGCCGCCGCCGCCGCTTCCACCGGGATTTAACCGGGGTTTGGATGCTTTCACCTCCCGTCTCCACTTCGGGAGGGCATGTGCGCGGGGGCAGCGGGCCACCCCCAGCGGAGCCCCCCCGCGCCCTGACCGCACGGTGAGGGGCTCCGCCGCCAGCCCCGTCCCGCCGCCGGCCCCCGAGGACGGGGAGCGGCCCCCCCTGGCCGGTGGGTACCGGGCGGGGGGCGGCGGGTGCCGGCAACTTGTGTTCGGCGTCCGGCGGTACCGACCGGGGGGACCCCCCGCCGCTCTACCCGAGGAGATTTGGGTTTAAACTTTGGGTTTTGGGGAGCCCCGAAGATGCCTTTCCACCCGGTGACGGCGGCGTTGATGTACCGGGGGATCTACACCGTCCCCAACATCCTCGCCGAGCAGCGCCCCGTGGAGATCCCCGAGGATGAGCTGGAGGGTGAGCGGGTTTGGGGGGCTGCGGGAGGGCTGGGGAGGGCTGGGGGGGGAGTCGAGGATGGGGCTGCAAGGGCTGGGGGGTCGAGGGGGATGAGGGAGGCATCTCATGGGAATGTGGGGTGAGGGGGACTGGGGGAACTGGGAAGTCCATCCCGCGGGATGCGGCTGCGGAGGAGTCGGGGAGCGCGTCCCCCGGCGCCGTGGGGAGGCTGAGGGCGAGCGGGATGCAGATGGATGGATGGATGAGGAGCAGGAGGAGGAGGAGGAGGAGGGGAGGAAGGAAAGCTGAAAGGGGAGGCGTGCGGGGGTCCCGGGCCCCCGGTTGTGCCAATATGACACAGCAGGGACCGGCGGTGGTGACGGGGGGCCGGACCCCCCCTCCCCGGCGTGGCGGGGTGACCCCCCTCCCCGCTGTCATAATATGACAGTGGCTGGTGGCGCGGGGGGCCCGAGGGGTGGCTGTCACCCGTGTCACCCTCCCGGGTCAGGGCAGCCCCACGCAGCCCCGGTGTCAGCGGGCTCCGGCCGGGAGGAGCGGCCGGCGGGGCTCTGCCCACCCGTGCCATGAGCGGGGCCGGGCTCAGCTCACCACCACCAGAATGGCTTTTTCCATCCCAAAAGTTTGCCGGGGTGGCAGGACGGGCACTGGTGGTCCCCGACTTTGGAGTGTCCCCGGGGAGCCCGCGGGAGAAGGGGCTGCAGCACCCCCGGCCCCATCGCTGCCCCCAGACCCAGCACCACGGGGGAAACTGAGGCACAGGGGGAGACCCCACACGTGTCCCCAGCGTGCCTGGGGAGAGCACCCCTGGGCCCAGCACCCGGCCTGGAGCCCCCGGGGATCCCTGCGGGGAAACTGAGGCAGGAGCCCCGGACTGGGGATGAGGGGAGCCCCAAAACCCATCCGGGACCAGCACACCCGTGTGTGTGTGTGTGTGTGTGTGTGTGTGTGTGAGACTGTGTGTGTGTGTGTGTGTGTGTGTGTGTGTGAGACTGTGTGTGTGTGTGTGTGTGTGTGTGTGCAGCTCTGCAGGGGGGGTGTGCACTGACGTGCTCGTTACAGCCTCACTGCAGGGGCTCCGTGTGTGGGGGTGTGCGTGTGTGTGAGTGTGTGTGTCACTGTGTGTGTGTGTGACTCTGTGTGTGTGTGTGTCACTGTGTGTCACTCCGTGTCACTCTGTGTGTGTGTGTGTGTGTCACCACGTGTGTGTGTGTGTCACTGAGTGTGTGTGTGTGTCACTGTGTGTCAGTGTGTGTAACTGTGTGTGCACAAGCATCTACACTCCCCCTCCACACAGCCCCGTCACGCTGTGTGTGTGTGCTCACACATCTGTGAGTGTGTGAATGCACAGGCACGGCCTCACTGCAGGGTGGCTGTGTCAGAATGTGTGTGTGTGTGTGAGAGAGAGTGTGTGTGTGTGTGTGTGTGAGAGAGAGTGTGTGTGTGTGTGTGTCAGTGTGTGTCTTAGAGAGAGTGTGTGTGTGAGTTTGTGTGAGTGTGTGTGTGTGGGGGGGTGTGTCAGAATGTGTGTGTGTGCGTGTCAGTGTGTGTGTGCGCATGTACAGCCCCATTGCAGGGTGTGTGTGTGTGTGTGCATCATTCTGTGTGTGTATGTGCATGTCACTGTGTGTATGTCACCGTGTGTGTGTGTCACTGTGTGTGTGTCACTCTGTGTGCGTGTGCGTGTCACTGTGTGCGTGTGTCACTGTGTGTGTGTCACTGTGTGTGTGTCACTGTGTGTGTGTGTGCATCGCTGTGTGTGTGTGTATGTGTGTGTGTATGTGCGTGTCACTGTGTGTGCGTGTCACTGTGTGTGTGTATGTGCGTGTCACTGTGTGTGTGTGTCACTGTGTGTGTGTGTGTGCATTGCTGTGTGTGTGTGTGCATTGCTGTGTGTGTGTGTCAGTGTGTGTGTGTCAGTGTGTGTGTGTCACTGTGTGTGCACATGTACAGCCCTGTTGCAGTGTGTGTGTGTGTGTGCATCGCTGTGTGTGTGTTTGCGTGTGTCTGTGTGTGTGTGTGCACGTACAGCGTCACAGCAGGATGAGTTTGTACACACAAACCTGCTGCAGAGAGGGGTGTCTGTGTGTGTCTGTGTGTCTGTGTGTCTGTGTGTCTGTGTGTCTGTGTGTCTATGTGTGTGTGGTTTTGTGCACAAGTACAGCATCTCTGCAGCGTGGCTCTGTGTGTGTGTGTGTGTTCACAAGCACATCCGTGCAAGGTGTTGGGGTGTTGTGCACATACAGGTACAGCAGCACTGCAAGGGGGTGTGGGGCACGTCCGTGCACAAGCACAGCACCGGTTGTGAGTGCACTCGTGAGTGTGTGTGTGAACACACACAAGCACAGAGCTGGTTGTGAGTGCACCTGCGTGTGTGTGAACAGGCACAAGCACAGCACTGCCAGGAGTGTGTCTGTGCACACACCAGCACAGCAGCACTGCAAGGGGGGTGTGTCTGGTGCACGTCTGTGCACGAGCACACCCCTGCAAGGTGTTTGTGTGTGTGTGTGTGTGTGCACACCCCTGCAAGGTGTCTGTGTGTTTGCACACACAGCCACGTCACTGCAGTGTTTTTGTGCACACACACACAGGTACAGCATCACTGTGAGGTGGTTCTGCTTTGCATCCATGTGTGTGCACACACAGGAACAGTGTTAGTGCAAGGGGTGTGTGTGTGTGTGCGCGCACGAGTACACCCTTGCAAGGGGGGTGTGTGTGGGTGTGTGTGTGTGTGCACAAGCACACCCTTGCAAGGGGTTGGGGTGTGTGTGCACAGGTATGGCATCATTACAAGGGGTGTGGGTGTGTGCACAAGTACAGCCTTGCAAGGGGTGTGTGTGTTTGCACACGCAGGTACACCCCTGCAAGGTGCTGGTGTGTGCACACACAGGTGCAGCATCACCACATGGGCTGTGTCCGTGTGTCTGTCTGTGCACGCACAGGTCCAGTGTCACCACCAGTTGTGTCCCAGCCCCGCTGCAGTGCAGTCTGTGTGCTCACACTGGGCTGTCTGTGTGTGTTCACACTGTGTGTGTGTTCACACTGTGCTGTCTGTGTGTGGGCTCACACTGGTGTCTGTGTATGTCCACACTCTGTGTGTGTTCACACTTCATGGGCTCACACTGGTGTCTGTGTGTGTGTTCACACTCTGCTGTCTGCATGTCTTCATAGTGTGCTCACGCTCCGTGTGAGTGTGTGTGTTCACACCATCTGTGCACTCACACTCTGCTCTCTGTGTGTGCTCACGCTGCTGTCTGTGTGTGTTCACACTCTGTGTGTGTGTTCACACTCTGTGTGTGTGTTCACAATCTGTGTGTGTGTTCACAATCTGTGTGTGTGTTCACACTCTGTGCTCACAC